GCAGCATTCTGGAATGAGTAACAGTGAAAGTTATTATGGAAGAGACACAAAAAGAGATGCCACTAAGACAAAGAGCTGAAGGGCTTAAAGCTGCTTGTAAATTACGCACTATGCGTGTGAATCTGCAATGTGGCCTGGTACTACTGCTGGTGCTGCTACCCAAAACTTCTTAATAAGAGCATGGTAGGTCTATAGGGGATAGAAGTCCATCCCCTTTTCTAGCCTTGGTCATGTGTATTTCAGAAATGCAACCATGATATGCTCTTTGTTGTCACTGTCGGCCATCGCTGTTTCTGCTGAAAATTAGTGAGAACAAATCACAAACTAGACTGCACATGCTTGTTTTATTTAGCACTCACAAAAATGTGGGGCTTGTTGACAATAAGCCAAGAAGTGCAAGCTCTCACTTTTGGGTTACTTATAGCTCAACTGTTTTTAAAGTGCAAATTATTCATTGCTGTTCATGTAAACTGAGTTTTGAACTTCTGAAATTTTGATATTAAAATTGTAAATGCATTCATAACATTGCTGAGTCACTGAGTAGAAGCATAATGGTAACAAATAACGGTATTTGGAGAGTGAGTATTGTCTGTATTACAAACAGTGCTGCTGTTAATTTTGTGCAGCTACTGGGAGTTCTAAAAATCCTATCTCAAATAGATTCAATTGTCATCAGTAATGCAAGAAACACACCTATTTTATGCACCCTTTTAATTTAGTTTTATTGTTCCTTAAATATACCTGCTAGGCATGCAAGTTTTTTTATGATGAACTTGATCAATTCTGCTGTAGAAGACTTGAGTTCCAGCCTCGAAGATACCTGGCCAAGCACTGCCTGAGAGGGCTTGGTGAGCTAATTTTCTTTAGACTCTTTAAATTTTGTTATGGTGTACAAGCCTTTAAGGCCTTTCATTGCAGCTTGTGAGGGAAAATAAAATTGAAAGAGGCTAAATTAAATTAAAACACCAAAAGCCCTTACCAGTGTGCTCTTGGTCTTTTAATTTTATTCAGCCTTAGTTTTGGCTACGCAGCCTTTTATCCTTTTGTCTTGGAGCTGGTAATCCAGAAGAAAATTGAGAAAAGCAAAAGAATTTCAGAGAAGCAAAAGAAAGTTAAAAGACCAAATCCCACACCATGCCTTAAAACGCACTCAGGCTAAGTGTGGCTGGGCATTTTCCAGGCTAGAACTCTTGTTCTTTCGAGCAAAAATAACCAAATTCACAATACATGACCTTTTATGGAAATATTGAAGCAATGAGGAAACTAAAAAATTCCAACTGTACATAAAATTGGTAAGTTTCATCTCACTTTGACCTTCCAAGACAAGTAAGTTTAGTTATGCTTATACTGTTCTTGACAGCTCAGATTGCAGAGAAATTAACCGATGTTAAGTCCACTTGCAATTAAGTTTTCTTAAAGTGTAACTGACATGATATTTTGGGGTATTTTTTTTATTGACCTAACATGAACAAATAAAAATGCAATATGGAAAGTTTTATTGTCTTAAAAAATTATTCACAGAAATGAGCCTTCAGATTTGCTCATTTTGCTCCCAGCCATTTTACATCCTGTCAGGGGGTGTGGCTAAACGTGATGTCATACAAGGGGAATGGTTGACTTTTTCCATTGACTGCAATACAACTTTAGTAGATATTATCTCTGTTAGATTTCATTTTATACCTTGTAGCTTTAATCCTGTTGTAAAAGTGATAGATTGTGCTTATAATTTATAATAGTTAGAGGACATCAGAAGTCATTATGGCTGGTATAGCGTTGCAGCCCATAGCCTCCTTTTGACAATCCATAATGAGCTGTTCTTGTGTATTTTGTATAGTTAATAGTTCATTCTTGTGTTCTGACACTGGTAAACAAAATTAGTACATGAAATTTGATGAACCACACAAGAACAGCTTCATTACGGATTGTCAAAAGTGGGCTATGAGCTTCAAGCTATACCAGCCGTAGTGACTCAGATGTCCTCTGACTATTATGAATTATAAGCACAATCTATCACTTTTATAACAGGATTAAAGCTACAAGGTATAAAATAAAATCTAACAGATATATTATCTACTAAAGTTACATTGCAGTCAATGGTTAAAGTCAACCATAAGCCTTGTATGACATCACGTTTAGCCACACCCACTGACAGGATGTAAAATGGCAGGAAGAAAATTGAGCATCTTTCAAGGTTTGTATCTCTGTGAATAATTTTTTCCAGACAAAAAACTTTCCACATAGTATTTTCATGATTATATGCTCATGTTAGGCCAATAAAAAAAGTACCACAAAAAATCATGTCAGTTACACTTTAAACATCACCTGATAGCTATGGAAGCTGGTATATGGTAACATTGGAGGATGATTTAAAAACATGAGTTCTAGCCTAGAAGATACCAAGCCACACAATAAAAGGGGTGAATTCTGATGCAAAACCAAGAGTTTTTTTAGCTTGCAACATACACAAACCACCCCCGTGGTAGGCGTTATGGGACCTTCTGGCTTAGTATCTTCTTCCTTTAAAGCATTTTAGTGCAATTTTTTACACAATGTCACTTGCACTTATGCTAAGCATTCCATTGACAGAAGCAACAAGAGTATGAATTTTTTTACCAGTTAAAATAAATGTCAAAAATAATAAATCTGATTTTTTCAATCATTCTTCACTTGCAGCTAAAATTCTTCAAGAACCATGGCTTTGTTCCACTGCTGACTGTTCAAAAATTTACTTTATGCTATATTAGAAGTGCCAGTTACATTTACTGCTCAATATTGCTGCCAGATATCTGCATGATAACAACAACAATCATAATATAAGGTTCATTTTAATGATAAAGAGCATCCCAAAGTGGTCTATGATAAAAATTAATGTTTACAAAATCCTGCATTAAAACTTAAATGTATTATTTATAAGTCACTACTAATAGTCACTTACACAGTTTCGATTCCTTTGTTTCTCAATCCTTATTCTTTAATTTCATTTAATTTAATTTAATGATAATTTTACAAGATGAGCAGAAGGATCAGTACAGAAGGAGAAAGGGATAGACAAGGGAAAAAAGACATTTTGATGGAGTAACCGCAAGAGCTGCTGATACCCAGAGATAAATAATAAACTTAGTTATGATACATTGTATTACTGTTAAGATTGGTGTTTGGATGCAAGTATAAAAAAAGAAAATTAGAATAATAGAATAACAAAATCAATGAGAAATAATGAGAAATAATACATTTTAAAAGTAATAAGAATTAAATAGAAGAAAAGTACTTGATAGATTGATGAGTTACTGATGAGTGATTGATTGGTGGAAAATTTAGATAAGTTAATACTAGAACAGAGGCCCGAAAGTTGTGAGTCATGTAGTAATCTCAGGGGGAGAATGTCTGATTCCCAGTA